ATAGATTGCAAGTACCATGTAGCAAACACAGTGGACTCAATGACCAAACAGAGGCAGGAATCATTATAGAAACATTACTTCTAAATTTTGAACAAAGTGAGGTTCAGAATGATATTTAAGAAACCTATATTAGATAAACATAAAACAACAAACAATCCCGCCCCTGATGGAATAACACAGAAAGCCTTAAACTACTCAGGAACTACTTGAGAACTGGACAATAGCGATTTAAAATTTTCCATCCTAAGACAGCAGGTAGTGCGGGGCTGGGGTCTCGAGAGACAACAAAATGAGGTGACGTCACTGATGTGGGCTCTGACATTTCCTAGGCAAGCCAGGGACCCTCCCTGGGGTCTCCTGAGATCCTGCTCAGACTCAAGTGGGCTCCAGGCCTCAGGGTTCCAGACACTTCTCTGGGTCCAGGGAAGCCTCCCCGGCGCTGGGCCTTCGCTCCTCTCTGGGCCCAGCTTGAGCTCCAGGCTACTAAAGACACAATAGTATTTCTCACAGCGTCAGGGATGGGTCTTTCTCTGTAAATTAAAATTGTTTTGAGTTTGGAGCCTCTGAGAATCATGTGATGAGAATGGCTTGGACAAGAAAGTTATTTATTTGGGGGAGGGGTCCTGGTGAAACACATGGGGAAGGGGCTGGTGTGGGAGGGGGCTTCAGACCACAGCCCCGACCCTGTGAAAGGAGAGAGGGAGGAATGATGGGCAGGACTAGCCTCAGGCCACAGGCAGGTCTGGGGACGCCCTAGCAGGCTGAGTGGGTCCTTGCTCATGGGGTGCCCATTGGTGGATCCTGCTTCCTGCAGGAAGACCTGGCTGCAGCGACCCCGGGCTCATCCTGCCTGAGCCAGCCCAGGGGCAGGGCCCTGTCACCTGTGCTGCTCCCTGCAGGTTCCCCTGGAGGGAGGTCTGGGTGGGCACTGCCATGGCCACAACAACTGCCCTCTGCTGCTGCATCCACCCTCAGGACAGGGCTGTGCCCTCCTCCACCTACACCCCTTGCAAGGTCAAACATGAGGTGTCCTGGGGTTGGGAGCCTTGGGCACCCACGGGCCCTGCAGCCACTCAGACACCCCATCTACCCAAGCTGTATGCCAGGGAGAGGGGTCTGGGGAAGACCCGACTCACAGCAGTCAACTCTTCTGAGGTCAACCTGAAGTCTTCAGGCCTGGGATGTCCTCTGGAGCCATCCTTATCCTACTCCCATGCTGGCTCTTCCTGCTCCAGTGACCTGGGTCCTGTCCCTAAACTCCTGTTCCATTCCCAGCATCTCATACACGGCCGGCCTTCCTTGAATATTCGTTTAAAGAACGAATTAATGAATGATGAATGAATGAATGACTCAGCCTACGTTCCCTGCCAGATGATTGACACCCCCATTATTCCTAGGA